CTGGAGGAACAGATGTCAGTGAAATACAATACAACTAGATCTTTATGCAGTACGCACACATTTCTACTGCTCCTCTAGTAGTCCAACAGATGCTACCCATTTATGTTTTTGCACTGCCAGTAGCATTTAGCACTATCCTGGTATTTTAGGCTTCATTCCTGAATTCACTTTCCTTAGAGCAACGCTTCTCAAACTGGGTATCAGAAGGGTCACTAAAGATCATCAGAAATCACAATATTTTCTGTTGGTTGTGGGGGTTCTGTGTGGGAAGTTTGGCCCAATTCTATCATTGGTGGGGTTCGGAATGCTCTTTGATTGTAGGTGAACTATAAATCCCAGCAACTACAACTCCCAAACGTCAAGGTCTAGTTTCCCTAAACTCCACCAGTGTTCACATTTGGGCATATTGAGTATTCGTGCCAAGTTTGGTCGAGATCTATCATTGTTTGAGTCTACAGAGCTCACTGCATATAGGTGAACTACAACTCCAAAACTCAAGGTCAATGCCCGCCAAACCCTTCCAGTATTTTCTATCGGTCGTGGGAGTTCTGTGTGCCAAATGTGGTCAATTCCATTGTTAATGGAGTTCAGAATGCTCTTTGATTGTAGGTGAACAATAAATCCCAGCAATTACAACTGGGATTCAGAATGCTTTTTGATTGTAACTGATCTATAAATCCCAGAAATTACAACTTCCAAATGTCAAGGTCTAGTTTCCCCAAACTCCATTAGTGTTCACATTTGGGCATATTCATGCCAAGTTTGGTCGAGATCTATCATTGTTTGAGCCTACAGTGCTCTCTGGATGTAGGTGAACTACAACTCCAAAACTCAAGGTCAATGCCCACCAAAACCTTCAAGTATTTTCTGTTGGTCATGGGAGTTCTGTGTGCCAAGTTTGGTTCAATTCCATTGTTGGTGGAGTTCAGAATGCTCTTTGATTGTAGGTGAACTATAAATCCCAGCAACTACAACTCCCAAATGACAAAATCAACCCTTATCAGTATTCAAATTGGGGCGTATTGGGTATTTGTGCAAAATTTGGTCCAGTAAATGAAAATAAATCCTGCATATCAGATATTTACATTACGATTCATAACAGTAGCAAAATTCCATTGTTGGTGGAGTTCAGAATGCTCTTTGATTGTAGGTGAACGATAAATCCCAGCAATAACAACTGGGGTTCAGAATGCTTTTTGATTGTAATTGATCTATAAATCCCAGCAATTACAACTCCCAAATGTCAAGATTCTATTTTCCCCAAACTCCACCAGTGTTCACATTTGGGCATATTGAGTATTCATGCCAAGTTTGGTCCAGATCTATCATTGTTTGAGTCCATAGTGCTCTCTGGATGTAGGTGAACTACAACTCCAATAATCAAGGTCAATGTCCACCAGACCCTTCCAGAATTTTCTGTTGGCCATGGGAGTTCTGTGTGCCAAGTTTGGTTCAATTCCATCATTGGTGGAGCTCAGAATGCTCTTTGATTGTAGCTAGTCTATAAATCCCAGCAATTACAACTTCCAAATGTCAAGGTCTAGTTTCTCTAAACTCCACCAGTGTTCACATTTGGACATATTGAGTATTCATGCCAAGTTTGGTCCAGATCTATCATCATTTTAGTCCATAGTGCTCTCTGGTTGTAGGTGAACTACAACTCCAAAACTCAAGATCAATGCCCACCAAAACCTTCAAGTATTTTCTGTTGGTTGTGGGAGGTCTGTGTGCCACGCTTGGTTCAATTCCATTGTTGATGGAGTTCAGAATGCTCTTTGATTGTAGGTGAACTATAAATCCCAGCAACTACAACTCCCAAATGACAAAACCAATCCCCATCAGTATTCAAATTGGGGCGTATTGGGTATTTGTGCCAAATTTGGTCCAGTAAATGAAAATAAATCCTGCATATCAGATATTTACATTACGATTCATAACAGGAGCAAAATTTCAGTTATGAAGTAGCAACAAAATAATGTTACAGTTGGGGGTCACCACAAGATGAGGAACTGTATTAAGGGGTCGTGGCATTAGGAAGGTAGAGAAACACTGCCTTAGAATAAGCTCCATAGATATAGGCAGTGTGGTGTAGTGATCTGAGTGTTGGACTAGGACTGGAAGACTAGGGTTCAAATCCCTATTTCATTGTAGAGACCCATTGGATGACTTTGGGCAAATCACACTCTCTCAGCTTCAGTGGAAGGCATTGGCCTATCCCCCTCAGCAAGGAAATTGTTCTAGCCCAGCAAGCACCAGAGGATTTTTCTGACATTTCAGAGGATGAGGGGATTGATGGGTTTCAAAGTGAGGAATCTGTGAGTGATCGGAGACAATTGTAGGCAGATGAGGTCAATCTTTTGGATTCCTGTGCTTATTCCCAGGCAACAGGGGAAAGTTCAAGTTCCCTTGTGAAATGGCCTTGGACTGATGGGGAGTTTTCTTGGGAAACTAGGTTAGGTCTGAGAATGAAAGGAGTGAAAAATAGACAAATCCAAACTTGGCATAGCATTCATGCATTAGATTAGAGAGAGATGAGGCGCCAAAGGATGCTGAAGTCTCACCAAACTACAAATCCCAGCATGGTATAGCATTGAGCCATTAGATTAGAGAGATCTGAGGTGCTAAAGTTGGTAATGTGTCACCAAACTACAGATCCCAGCATGGCACAGCATTGAGCCATTAGATTAGAGAGATCTGAGGTGCCAAAGTTGGTAATGTGTCACCAAACTACAGATCCCAGCATGGCACAGCATTGAGCCATTAGATTAGAGAAAGTTGAGGTGCCAAAGGATGCTGATGCCTCAGCAAACTACAAATCCCAGCATGGCATAGCATTGAGCCATTAGATTAGAGACAAAGTGCCAAAGGATGCTGATGGCTCAGCAAACTACAAATCCCAGTATGGCATAGCATTGAGCCATTAGATTAGAGAGAGACAAGGTGCCAAAGGATGCTGATATCTCAGCAAACTACAAATCCCAGCATGGCATAGCATTGAGCCATTAGATTAGAGAGAGACGAAGTGCCAAAGGATGCTGATATCTCAACAAACTACAAATCCCAGCATGGCATAGCATTGAGCCATTAGATTACAGAGAGCCGAGGTGCTAAAGTTCGTAATGTCTCACCAAACTACAAATCCCAGCATGGCATAGCATTGAGCCATTAGATTAGAGAGAGCCGAGGTGCTAAAGTTCGTAATGTCTCACTAAACTACAAATCCCAGTATGGTATAGCATTGAGCCATTAGATTAGAGAGAGAGGAGGTGCCAAGGGATGCTGAAGTCTCACCAAACTACAAATCCCAGCATGGCATAGCATTGAGCCATTAGATTAGAGATAAGATCCCTCAAATAGGAGCTCCAGGTGCTCCTGAAGCAGCTTCTCCTTTTGCTTTGGCTCAGCACCATTCTAGGGAAACACGTGTCTGGCGGGCTGCATGTGGGAAGCATAGACACGTGTTTTCTCAAGGCGTGATGCCTTTGCTCTCTTGCTGCCAGCTAAACTTATGGAGAACTGAACACACGGGTACAACAGGTAGCTTGGACGCGTGTTCAGTATCACAGGCCCTGCTTGGGGAGCTTTATTTTTTTTTTTTTTTTGTCGTGTCAGAGCAGCCAGTCCATTATATTACATTTCTAACAGAACAAAGCAAACAAACAGAAAAATACACAACTTGTGAGTTTGGTAGTTGATTAAATGTACTTTGACCAGTCTCTGTCCCCTTGGAGTGCCTCTGGTGTTGCTGCAAGAAGGTCCTCCCTTTTGCCTGTGGCAGGGCTCAGGGTGCTTTGCAGCAGGTGGTCAGTGGTTTGCTCCTCTCCACACTCGCATGTCGTGGACTCCACTTTGTGGCCCCATTTCTTGAGTTTGGCTCTGCATCTCGTGGTGCCAGAGCGCAGTCTGTTCAGTGCCTTCCAAGTCGCCCCGTCTTCTGTGTGCCCAGGGTGGAGTCTCTCATTTGTTATCAGCCATTGATTGAGGTTCTGGGTTTGGGCCTGCCACTTTTGGACTCTCACCTGCTGAGGTGTTCCAGCGAGTGTCTCTGTAGATCTTAGAAAACTATGTCTTGATTTAAGTCGTTGACGTGCTGGCTGATACCCAAACAAGGGATGAGCTGGAGATGTCTCTGCCTTGGTCCTTTCACTATTGGCTGCAACTTCCCGGCGGATGTCAGGTGGGGCAATACCGGCTAAGCAGTGTAATTTCTCCAGTGGTGCAGGGCGCAGACACCCCGTGAGAATGCGGCATCTCTCATTAAGAGCCACATCCACTGTTTTAGCGTGGTGAGATGTGTTCCACACTGGGCATGCGTACTCAGCAGCAGAGTAGCACAGCGCAAGGGCAGATGTCTTCACTGTGTCTGGTTGTGATCCCCAGGTTGTGCCAGTCAGCTTTCCTATGATATTGTTTCTAGCGCCCACTTTTTGCTTGATGTTCAGGCAGTGCTTTTTGTAGGTCAGAGCACAGTCCAGGTTGACTCCCAGGTATTTGGGTGCGCTGCAATGCTCCAGTGGGATTCCTTCCCAGGTAATCATCCAGAGCTCGGGATGCTTGTCTGTTCTTAAGGTGAAAGGCACATGTCTGTGTTTTAGGTGGATTAGGGATCAGTTGGATTTCCCTGTAATAGGCAGTAAGAGCACCTAGAGCTAAACTTATGGATAACTGAACATACAGGTACAGGTAGCTTGGATGCGTGTTGAGTACCACAGGCCCTGCTTGGAGAGCTGTTGTCATGGCATCCCGTTGTCATGGCGACTCGCAGAGGAAGAGGAAGGCCGCGGCGGCCCCCTTAAGGAGCCGGTTGCCATGGCGAGGATGCGGTTGCCATGGCAGCCGCGCGAGGGGAGGGGGAGGAAGCGGCGGCGACGGAGGGGAGCATCGCGCGCCACCGCCCGCCAGGGGGCGCCGCCCCGATGCCTAGAGCGGAAGGAGGGCGCGCGGGGATATGGAGCGCTGGCTTCACGGGGAAACTCGTTGGTCAGAGCAGGCTCCGCCTCTTTGGGAGGAAAGATGGCGGCGGCGAGGGTGGAGGTAAATGCGAGTGGTCCAAATGGCCATTTGCTCCACGATGGCCTGGCACCCAGGGACGGCCAAGTAGTATCCCCCGCCTGGAGCGGTGCTTTTGTGAAAAATCAGTAACTGAGAGCTCACGTGAGTGTCCAGAAGCGAGGGAAGGCCAGGCGTGGGCAAAATTGGGCCTTCCCTCCATTTGTTTTGGACTTCCACCATCCCTAACAGCCTCAGGACCCTTCCTTTTCCCCCTCAGCCGCTTAAGCGGCTGAGGGGGTAAAGGAAAGGGCCTGAGGCTGTTAGGAATGATGGGAGTTGGAGTCCAAAACACCTGGAGGGAAGGCCCAAGCCTGTACTAGTATCTTCCCCTTCCAAAAATCTTGGAAATGCCTGTTATTATCTTACAAATCATTTATATTGTGTGCCCAAACATTCTGTTACTACGTTTTATGTTGGCGTCCATATTTCTGATTAGGAGTTGTTCTCGCCATTTGCTAATAAGACTGAATCACTGTTTTGTTGTTGTTATTATTATTATTGATTATTAAACTTTATTTGTACCCCGCTAGCATCTCCCGCAGGACTCGATGCGGCGTACAAAGGCCAACGCCTCAACACAACAACAGCAAAACAATAACAGTATTATGATTATTATTATTATTAAACTTTATTTGTACCCCGCTAGCATCTCCCGCAGGACTCGATGCGGCGTACAAAGGCCAACGCCTCAACACAACAACAGCAAAACAATAACAGTATTATGATTATTATTATTATTAAACTTTATTTGTACCCCGCTAACATCTCCCGCAGGACTCGATGCGGCTTACAAAGGCCAAGGCCTCAACACAACAACAGACAATAACAATACGATACAAAGCAAATTAAAAACATAAGCAATAACAAAACATGCTAGCATCTCCCGCAGGACTCGATGCGGCTTACATGAGGCCAAGGCCTCAACACAACAACAGCAAAACAATAACAGTATTATTATTATTATTAAACTTTATTTGTACCCTGCTAGCATCTCCCGCAGGACTCGATGCGGCTTATAAAGGGCAAGGCCTCAACACAACAACAGTAAACAACAACAATACAAAAGAAAGCAAATTAAAAACATAAGCAATAACAAAAATTACACTATTACACAATAAAAACCATGGCCGGGCCAATGATGGGTACAGGTTAAAAAGTGCTGGGTGTGACAGGAGGTGTATTGGAATTCTGGGCAAGTGCAATATTCAGAGAGTCTTAAACTCTAATAAAGTTGTGGTCCATGCCTTAGTCACCTCTAGACTGGATTACTGCAATGCGCTCTACGTGGGGCTGCCCTTGAAAACGGCTCGGAAATTCCAATTGGTCCAACGGGCAGCAGCCAGGATGTTAACGGGGGCCCATTACAGAGAGAGGTCAACCCTTCTGTTTAAGGAGCTCCACTGGCTGCCGTTTATTTTCCGAGCCCAATTTAAGGTGCAGGTGCTTACCTACAAAGCCCTGAACGGTTTGGGACCACCCTACCTGCATGACCGCATCACAGTCTACGAACCCACACGTTCACTCCGGTCATCAGGAGAGGCCCTGCTCGTGATCCCGCCCGTGTCGCAGGCGCGTTTGGTGGGGACGTGGGACAGGGCCTTCTCTGTGGTGGCCCCCCGCCTCTGGAATGCCCTCCCGAAAGATCTCAGACAGGCCCTACCTTGGCGGTTTTCAGAAAGAACCTGAAAACCTGGCTGTTCCAACGTGCCTTCTCAGATTAGGAACCCCACTACCAAAGCCCAGAAGCACTTTAGTAGAGTCAAGATCACCCTCACCGCACACTGCACTTATATTTTAATCCCATATCCCTCCGACACTTCAGCACTTTTTAATCCTGTACCCTACTCCGGCCGGCTCAGTTTTTAATAATGTCCTGTTGTATTGCTATTGCTATTGTCTTCTGCTTTAACTGTTTTTATTTGCTATGTATTGTATTGTTGTATTGTGTTGGGCTCCGGCCTGTTGTAAGCTGCATCAAATCCCTTGGGAGATGCTAGCGGGGTACAAATAAAGTTATAATAATAATAATAATAATATAATAATAAAGTGCTTATGGGACAGAGTGCTGGGGATTATCCTATTCCGGAAAGGCACATCGGAATAGCCAGGTCTTCAGATTCTTCCTGAAGACTGCCAACGTGGGTGCTAGTCTAATGTCTTTGGGGAGGGTGTTCCAGAGTTGGGGGGCAACCACAGAGAAGGACCTGTCCCTCGTCCCCAAAAAATCTTGGAAATGCCTGTTATTATCTTACCAATCATTTATATTGTGTCCCCAAACATTCTGTTACTACGTTTTATGTTGGCGTCCATATTTCTGATAAGGAGTTGTTCTCACCGATTTGCTAATAAGACTGAATCACTGTGTTGTTATTATTATTATTATTATTATTATTATTATTATTTATTAAACGTTATTTGTACCCCGCTAGCATCTCCCACAGGACTCGATGCGGCGTACAAAGGCCAACGCCTCAACACAACAACAGAAAACAATAACAGTACAATTTAAAGCAAATTAAAACATAAGCAATAAAAACAATACAACAATTACACCAGGGGTCCACAAACTTTTTAAACAGAGGGCCAGGTCACAGTCCCTCAAACTATTGGCGGGCCGGATTATAATTCGAAATATACATGCATGAATTCCTATTCACACTGCACATATCTTATTTATACTGCAAAAAGCATTTAAAAACAATACAATAATTAAAATTAAGAACAGTTTGAACAAATATAAACTTATTAGTATTTCAATGGAAAGTGTGGGCCTGCTTTTGGCTGATGAGATAGGATTATTGTTGTTACTGTGTGCTTTCAAGTAGTTTCATACTTAGGTTGACCCTGAGAGAGGGCCGGGTAAATGACCTTGGAAGGCCGCATCCGGCCCCCTGGCCTTAGTTTGAGGACCCCTGAATTACACAATAAAAACCAGGGCCGGGCCAGTGATGGGTACAGGTTAAAAGTGCTGGGTGTAGCAGGTGGTATTTAGGATTTCTGGGCAAGTGCAATGTGCAGAGAGTCTTAAACTCTAATAAAGTGCTTCTGGGATGTAGTGCTGGAGGTTATCCTATTCCGGAAAGGCACATCGGAAAAGCCAGGTCTTCAGATTCTTCCTGAAGACTGCCAACGTGGGTGCTAGTCTAATATCTTTGGGGAGGGTGTTCCAAAGTCAGGGGGCAACCACAGAGAAGGCCCTGTCTCTCGTCCCCACCAAAAGTGCCTGCAACGCAGGTGGGATCGCAAGCAGGGCCTCTCCGGATGAAAGAAGGGATCGCATGGGTTCATAAACGGAGATGCGGTCACGCAGGTAGGTGGATCCCAAACCGTTTAGGACTTTGTAGGTAAGCACCTGCACCTTGAATTGGGCTCGGTAGGTAAATGGCAGCCAATGAAGCTCCTTAAACAGAAGGGTTGACCTCTCTCTGTAAGGAGCGCCAGTTAACATCCTGGCCGCCGCCTGTTGAACCAGTTGTAATTTCCAAGCCGTTTTCAAGGGCAGCCCCACGTAGCAGATATTGTGGGATTTTCTGCCTTGATATTCTGGGTTATATGTCATTGTGGAAGGGCCCTTAATTTCAAGGAGAAACTTTTATCTTATGCTGTAATGTATGAAACTCTTCTTTAGCTCCTTACTTTATGTCTTGAGTTTAAAATCAGAACCTTGGGTTGGACAGGCACACAAGTAATAACATTAAAAAGCCACCTTGAGGCCCCTCGAGGGAGGAAAATTTATTGTTTTAATTGTTGTTATATTGCTTTGTTAGATTTAATGGCATCAAATTGTGCCAAATGTAAGCTGTCCTGAGTCACCCTTCAGGGGTTGAGAAGGATGCGGTAGAAATACTGGAAATAAATAAATAAATAAATAAGGAAATAAATAAAAAATAAACATGAAATGTTTGGAAACCTCTGCTTTAGCCTCTTATCCATCCAGCCTATTTTGAAGAAGTCCAATGGATGGTGGGATATATTTGTTGCATATTTAGGAAGTTGTCTTACATCAAGTTAGCTTGATTCAGTATTATCTGATGGGCAGGAGTTCTGTGAGGGTTAGGACTGGGTCCTTCTTTAACAGAGATGGAGATGACAAAGGCCGAACCTGGAAGTTTCTGAACACAAAGCCTTGCTGTGCGACTGTGCCATTTTGGCACTTAAAAATCTGAAACCTGACAACATATTGGTTTTAATTCCACTGATGCACAACACATTAGATCAGAAGTTCTGAAAAAAAATAGATAATATGTTTGGATTTAGACCTGGATTCACGTTTCCTTGCCGCTTCCGAGTGGCTATCAGCTGGCCTTTATCTCCTATTCATCTTGCTTTATATAGTTGTTAAGATAAAGCTATAGGAATGTCCTGAACCTCTTGGAGACAGAATGGGAATCCATTCTGTTGCAGACATGTTGTTATCTGGCTTCCTGATACTTAAATCATGGGTATTTATTGAGAACACTGACATTTTAGTTGCAAAAGCCTGGTTTAGTTGCAAAAGCCTGGTTCAAAAACCATCATTTGAGACCATTTCATCTTGGCTTCTATTTTAATCATGAACATGCTCTCTCATAATACTTTAGTTTCTCTTAAGAGAATGTTCTTGTGTCCTTTTGGATCACGTTTCATGTGATACTGTGCCAGTAAGTTCAGCTGTCCTATATAATATTCTGTACTGTTGGACTAGATCATTACTCCTTCACTGCAAGTATACAGTGTATTACTTGAGATATGAAAGCTGGCTTATCCCTGTTTCTTATTCATTACTGTTCTTCGTGTAATTTTTCAACCATATAGAAAAAGTGTCAATTTTTTGCCAGACTCATTATAGATAAGGTGTCACAGCTCACACATCTTATTCAGACCTTAGGTGTTAAGTGCCGGAAAAAAAAGTTGAAGTGGTAAGGAAGTGGGACTTCATGGGCCAGAGTCCCACTTCATTGGGTCCTCTTTACTGGGTAAAGATTCATGTGACATGCAAAGAGAACACACTTACTGTGGGATAGGCTTCATGGGCCAGAGTCCCACTTCATTTGTTATACTTCACAGTAGATAATAATAATGATAATGATAATAATAATAATAATAATAATAATAATAATAATAAGAAATACAGCATAGAGATCACATTTGCTGTGACATACTGTGGATTTGTGTCAGTAAAATGATGATGATGATGATGATGATGATGATGATGATGATATACTTTATTTATATTCCGCTGTATCTCCCTGAGGGGATTCAGGGCAGATTTCAGAACACATGTACGGCAAACATACAAAGCCATTATTCAGTTAACAATGACAGACACTATATAAACAGAGGTATAGGCTTTCCCATCTTTTTCCATCTCCAGCTTTTGGAGGCTGTGCTCAGTTCTGGACACCGGGGTTACTGTCACTCCATCTTCCATGCCGAGGAGCTTTGTTGTCCATAGACGTTCTCCCAATCGAATCACCAGCATGTCTTTATGGGTGCTTTTTATTACCTCCCTGCTTAAAGCAGTACCTATTTATCTACTTATATTGCTATTTTCCATCTGCTAGATGAGCAGAAGCTGGGCTGACGGCGGGAGCTCATCCCGACCTGGGCTTGAACTGCCAACCTTTTAATCGACAAGATTTTCTACAGCTGGTGGTTTAACCCACTGTGCTAATGTCCAGACCGATTTGGCAGATTGCCTATTTTTAGTACAAGCAGTGGTATCTTAAATAGATGATATATATTAGATTAGGATTTATTTTATTTTCTCCTTTCTTAAAGCTCATTCTTACAGCAACCACCTTCCTTTCCTTAACAAACATGGTTTTGCTTTTTGCTCTGTCAGGTTCCTGTTGTGCTGGGATATTCTTGATTTGAGGAAAGTATTATGGATCATGATGCCCCAACCATCAAGCCTCGTCGGATCCAGAATCAGAATGTCATTTATCGTTTAGAACGTCGGAGGATCACCTCTGGAAAAACAGGGACTCACTGGCACCAAGTCCGCATCTTCCATCAAAATGTTTTCCCCAATTTTACCATTGTCAATGTTGAAAAACCACCCTGCTTCTTGCGGAAGTTTTCCCCTGATGGGAGATACTTCATTGCCTTCTCCTCGGATCAGACATCTTTGGAGATCTACGAATATCAGGGCTGTCAAGCGGCTGAAGACCTCCTCCAGGGGTATGATGGGGAGATCTTGGCTAATGGCAATGACCAGAGATCCATCAATATTCGTGGGCGCCTCTTTGAGCGTTTCTTTGTCCTCCTTCACATTACCAATGTGGCGTCGAATGGTGAGCACTTGAACCGTGAATGTAGTCTATTCACAGACGATTGCCGCTATGTCATTGTTGGCTCTGCTGCCTACTTACCTGAGGAACCTCACCCTCCTTTTTTTGAGGTTTACCGCAACAGTGAATCAGTCACGCCGAATCCCAGATCCCCTTTGGAAGATTACTCTTTGCACATCATAGACCTTCACACAGGCAGGCTGTGTGACACTAGGACGTTCAAGTGTGACAAAGTTATCTTGTCCCATAACCAAGGACTGTACTTGTATAAGAATATCTTGGCTATTCTGTCTGTGCAGCAGCAAACCATCCATGTCTTTCAGGTAACACCTGAAGGCACCTTCATTGATGTACGAACAATAGGTCGCTTTTGCTACGAGGATGATCTCCTCACACTTTCTGCTGTATATCCGGAAGTCCAACGGGATTCTCAGACAGGCATGGCAAACCCATACAAAGAACCATTCATAAATTCCCTGAAACACAGGCTGTTGGTGTACTTGTGGCGAAGAGCAGAGCAGGATGGGAGTGCCATGGCTAAAAGGAGGTTCTTCCAGTATTTTGACCAACTGAGGCAACTACGCATGTGGAAGATGCAGCTATTGGATGAAAACCATCTTTTCATTAAATATACAAGCGAGGATGTAGTCACATTACGAGTGACAGACCCTTCACAGGTAAGAGTTCTGGCCTTTGTCCTGTTGGAAATAGCAGCCTTCTCAAGCCTTCACTAGTTATTTGTTATATATATTATTGAGTGGGTTGTTGTAGGTTTTTTCAGGCTATATTGCCATGGTCTAGAGGCATTCTCTCCTGATGTTTCGCCTGCATCTATGGCAAGCATCCTCAGAGGTAACCATGAAAATGAACAAAATCTGGCTACCAGTATTAAAATACTCTAAAATTACAACAGCACAACAACAGAGAGGAAACAAACAAGGACATCTAATCACCTCTCAACAAAAGTTTGCTCTAGGCACTGTCAGGCCATTATATGCTAATGTGGTCAGTTGAAACATTCACACCTAGCTCCAGCAGACAAGAGTCCTTTGTCTCACCCTGGTCATTCCACAGATATATAAACCCTTTTTCCTAGTTCCAACAGACCTCACTACCTCTGAGGATGCTTGCCATAGATGCAGGCGAAACGTCAGGAGAGAATGCCTCTAGACCATGGCCATATAGCCCGAAAGAACCTACAACAACCCAGTGATTCCGGTCATGAAAGCCTTCGACAATATATTGAGATTGCTTACTATATTATATGTGTGTATTGATTTGCAATTTTACCTAACCTTTTGTGGGAGGGGTTGCAGACTGTGTGATCAGAACTGGACATGTTCAGGGCTCAGACACCATTTTAGATCAGTAGAAGCCGTTAGACTCTTAGCGAGACTAGAAGCCATCTGTATGCTTTTAGAAATGAAAGTGTGAGTTTGTATCAGAAGCAGTGAATTCAGTTTAGACTTCGATGCAGGAACAGTATGCTTAGATACTTATTAGACTCTCAAAACAGAGAGATGCTTTGGACTATGGACTATTGTTCCTAAGAGTGATGCCCTGTGCTACCTGTACAAAGAAACTACTTAAAATCTTATTGTACCTAAATTCATAAGCAAAGTGCCTGTATGCCGTCTACATGAAGCTTTTTGAGTAAGCCAACTCTTTTATTTTAAAGAAGACTGTTTATTTTGTCTCTTGAGAGCATGTAAAGGCAAATATATTTTAAGGGAGAGTAGATGTTTTTAGGGCAACTAAAGGAACACTTCTGAAACTCTGCTGAATATGTATGTGTTTTTGTGCATTGGCATGTCTTTGTCCCAAATAGTTCAAATACATACAAAGGTACATTTTTTAACAGCTTGAGAGACCTAGTTGCCTTGCATGAATGCTGGTGAACATCAAAAGGATGTGACTTCTAACAAAGTCATGCCTTTTCCGTGACCAGTGGTTTTTCAAAAAGGTTATGAATTCCATTTCTCAAATGGTTACGGTGATTGACATTTTCCAAAATGTGCTGAACTAACTTAAAGCAGAATGAAGTTTTGTCATTTTGTTAACATTGTATGGCATGTTTATCATTCGCTTTTGTAGGAAGAGGGCATGAGTTATGCTTTCTCTGTGGCATTGTGTCTAGGACCTTTTTTCAACCCTTGACTATATGCTCTTCTCCATAAGTCCCAATCATTCCAAATTCCCTATTGGAAGGGAAATAAACTGCAAAAAGTTATGGTAATTGCCAGCTCTAGGACTTAGAATCATAGAGTCAAAGAGTTGGAAGAGACCTCATGGGCCATCCAGTCCAACCCCATTCTGCCAAGAAGCAGGAATATTGCATTCAAATCACCCCTGACAGATGGCCATCCAGCCTCTGTTTAAAAGCTTCCAAAGAAGGAGCCTCCACCACACTCTGGGGCAGAGAGTTCCACTGCTGAACAGCTCTCACAGTCAGGAAGTTCTTCCTCATGTTCAGATGGAATCTCCTCTCTTGTAGTTTGAAGCCATTGTTCTGCGTCCTAGTCTCCAAGGAAGCAGAAAACAAGCTTGCTCCCTCCTCCCTGTGGCTTCCTCTCACATATTTATACATGGCTATCATATCTCCTCTCAGCCTTTTCTTCTTCAGGCTAAACATGCCCAGCTCCTTAAGCCGCTCCTCATAGGGCTTGTTCTCCAGACCCTTGATCATTTTAGTTCGCCCTCCTCTGGACACATTCCAGCTTGTCAATATCTCTCTTGAATTGTGGTGCCCAGAATTGGACACAATATTCCAGGTGTGGTCTAACCAAAGTCGGAATAGAGCATGGGGAGCATTACTTCCCTAGATCTAGACACTATGCTCCTATTGATGCAGGCCAAAATCCCATTGGCTTTTTTTGCCGCCACATCACATTGTTGGCTCATGTTTAACTTGTTGTCCATGAGGACTCCAAGATCTTTTTCACACGTACTGCTCTTGAGCCAGGGACTTCCAAGGACAATAGTACATCTTAAAACCAGATTCTTAACCTCCCCAAGGCAGAACAAATAGCAGAACTGGAAGTGACTTTCATTGCCTGTATGTGGCATAGTTCAGACTGTCATAAGTGCAAAGCTTTGCCCCTGAACCTTGCTGCGTATGTTGCTTGTAGTAGATCCTAGAGCAGTGGTTCCCAACCTGTGGTCCATGGACCACCAGTGGTCCACAAGAACTAAAATATGGTTTGCAGCCTCACTGTTACTACATCATTGCAACGAAAGCGACTGGTCTCACAAAACCCTCTTATAGTGCCGAGCCTTATTAAGTATGGTTTTATGTTGGCTAGCAGATGGAGACCACTGGATGGCATATGTTCTGTAACAGAAATTAGAGCTCATGTTGTCTGTCCAGTGCAATGTTTTGAATCAGCACCCCAAACAACCAAACAGAATATAAAGTTGACCAAAAACTGATTTGTAACCTCTTTGGTACTAATGTTGGAGAGTGTTCCCTGGTCAAAGTGGTCCCTGGTCGCCCACTGTCCTAGAGAAAGCTAAATGTATCTCTTGAGGTGGGGGCTGCTGTGTGGAATGTGGTTGTCTCAGTGTTGCAGCCAATTCTTAGTTATTGCTTATGTTTATATATTGTTGGTGCCATAATTTTTATGCTTTATGTCTAAATGTTTTTTTTATGTTTATGTTTTAATTTGGTTTGGTTAATTTGTAGTTACATGTTATTATCTTGCTATTATCTTTTGGTTTTCACATGTATGTACAGCATTGAATTTTGCTGTTATAATGTTGGAAACCGCTTTGAGTTCCCTTAGGGCAGAGTTTCTCAACCTTCCTAATGCCATGACCCCTTAATACCGTTCCTCATGTTGTGGTGACCCCCAACCATAACATTACTTTCCTTGCTACTTCATAACTGTAATGTTACTACTGTTATAAATTGTAATGTAAATAACTGATATGCAGGATGTATTTTTTACTTACTGGGCCAAATTTTGCACAAATATCCAGTACGTCCAAGTTTGAATACTGGTAGGATTGCGGGGATTGATTTTGTCATTTAGGAGTTGTAGTTGCTGCGATTTATAGTTTACCTACAATCAAAGAACATTCTGAACTCTACCAACGATGGAATTGAATCAAACTTGGCACACAGAACACCCATAATCAACAGAAAATACTGGAAGGTTTTGGTGGGCATTGACCTTGAGTTTTGGAGTTGTAGTTCACCTACATCCAGAGAGCACTGTGGACTCAAACAATGATGGATCTGGACCAAACTTGGCACGGATACTCAGTATACCCAAATGTGAATACTGGAATTTATAGTTCACCTACAATCAAAGAGCGTTCTGAACCCCACAAATGATAGAATTGGGCCAAAATTCCTACACAGAACCCCCCATGACCAACAGAAAATACTATGTTTTCTGATGGTTTTTGGCGACCCCCCTGACACTCCCTGGCAACCCTCCCAGGGGTCCCGACCCCCAGGTTGAGAAACGCTGCCTTAGGGAGAGAAAAGTGGCATATAAATGTAGTAAATAAATAAAACTCCAAAGAGATGCCTGAATTTGCATACAAGTCTTTAGTGCCAAGGAAGTCAAATGATGTCTCCAGTATAGCAATGTTCCTCTAGTATTTTTGGCATACCCAAGATAACAAAGAGACATGGCAAAGAATTAAATGGAGACTGGAACTTCAACCAGTCATCCAGGGCTATTAGGGTTTGTTGGACAGTATGCTTAATTTTCTCCAAAACTTTATAAGCTGATATATTAAACACAATATAGCAGGTTATGTTTAAAACAATGTGGATTTAAAGCTTTATTTTAAAATGGAAATTGGGATTCTCAAAATGCTGTCTTCTCAGCCAATGCATTTTGTAGAAAATGTAGAAAATGTTTGTTTTCTTGATCATTAGTTTGCACAGTGTTACTTAGGAAAAGATTTCTTCACAAGTACCCAGGTGACTGATTGCAAAACCAAAATGCAGCTTTTGGACATTCTTGGATAAGAGTGCCAGTCATTCAAAAGAAATAGTTAGCGGTGCTCAGCCTTTCATTTCCCGAGCAGCAGGGGACCCTGAAGGGTACACCGTTTACAGGCAACAGTGGAACACAATGCACCTTTAAAAGCTCATCTCTGCATGTTGGTACTATTAAGACAGGAAAAGAAAATAAGTGCCCCTGAGCCCCTCCCCAATAAAACCTACCAACTTTCACCTTTCTGCATACAGAGGGGAAAAATAATTGGTTGCCAGCCACCGCCTGGCTTAAAAAATCACTTCTCAGCAGGACCTAAAATTAAATCTGCCTTTCTGGGGGGAAGAAAACATTTCATGTTTGGCAGAGAAAGGAAATGGGAACACTGATGTGTCCAGCTTGAAGTAAACAAAACAAAGTAGAAATCAGAGGAATTTCACATTGCTTTGTAAATCATTTGATGGTGGTTAATGGCTTACTTAATCTGGAACCCATTGAGATGGCTGGAAGTACAATGCACTGACAGGCAAAACGTGGAATCCTCCCACCCAGCCACAAAATCATGTCTAAAGTTTTGGTCGGTTTAACCAGTTGGTGGTGGTAATTACTAACTCGTATGGTCTGATATTTGCCTGTCCTCCGCTGGCTGATTTGAATTCTACTTCCTCCCTTTCAGCCCTCGTTTTTTGTTGTTTACAACATGGTGACCACTGAGGTGATTGCTGTCTTTGAGAACACATCGGACGAGCTGCTGGAACTTTTTGAGAACTTTTGCGACCTTTTCCGGAATGCCACACTCCACAGTGAAGCAGTTCAGTTCCCTTGTTCAGCTTCAAGCAACAATTTTGCAAGGCAGATCCAACGCCGGTGAGCCCATGAGAGTGGCAGCAATTCATAACCATTTTATCTGACTTAGTTTTCATAGAATTATTGATGTATGTAGTGTTGTGTTTTGTTTTTGTTTCTTTTAGAAATCATTAAGTTGTTTACAACAAATAAAGTCAATAAAGATACAGTATCATATAGTCAGCATTCTACAATTTAAACATTCTTTTCTTGGGCACCACACACACACACACACACATATATATAGGTTTTCCCCTATTAAGTCTAGTCATGCCCGACTCTGGGGGGTGGTGCTCATTTCCATTTCTAAGCTGAAGAGCTGGCATTGTCCTTAGATGCCTCCTAGGTCATGTGGCCGGCATAACTGCATGGAGCATCATTGCCTTCCTGCTGGAGCGGTAGCTATTGATCTACTCACATTTGTATGCTTTCAAACTGCTAGGTTGGCAGAAGCTGGGACTAATAGAGGGAGCTCACCCCACTCTCTGGATTCGAAATGCTGACCTTTTGGTCAACAAATTACAAATTTAGCATGTCAGGAGTTTAACCTGCTGTGGCACCGGGGGCTCCTACACAGACACACACACACACACACACACACACACACACACACACACAGGAATTAATTAAAGGACTTAATGTTAATAATTAGTAAAGTAAGATAATGATAAAAGTAATAATAAAAGGACCCTTAAATTAGTTTTAAACTTTCCTTATCTAAAATACACTGGAGATCCAATACAATTCTTCTAATTCCTTAAATATATTTAACTTTTTTCCCCTTTCCCCCTTCTTTGTACCACCTTCCCCTACACCAACTTACCTAATTATCTCCAAAATTTCATTGTTTCTATTGCAGGTTTGTTCCCCTGTCCTTCAGTAATCACAAATTCTATAAACTTCCCTCATATTTTCCAAAAGTCTGTTTGTTTCTGTATTCTCTTTTTAGCATTGATGTCGCAAGTCATCTTGTCATTAATTGCTATATTCCAATCTTCTTTGGATTTTGCTTTTATCTTTCCATTTTTTAGTTGCTAATTTATCCAAACCTTCACAGGTAAACTGTGGAAAGGGGGCATCCCTGTCTTGTACCTCGGTTTGATATTATTTTCTTCTGTTAGGCCATCATTCACCATTACTGAAGCATAATTTTTTGAATACAGCTTACCAATTAAACGTCTAAACCTTTCACCAAATCCAGATTTCTCCAGAATCATTTTTAAAGCAGACCAAGATACGCTATCAAAGGCTTTGAATTTATCTAAAGCTAATAAGCCTGTTGTTAATTTTGTTTTAATTATATAAATTATATTTAATATCCTACCCATTTGTCTTCCTGCCTATAAAGCTCTAAATGGTCCTGGCCCAATGTATCTATCTGAACGTATCTCCCTCTATGAACCACCGTGGAGTTTAAGATCATTTGGGGAGGCCCTGCTTTTGGTCCAGCTCCCTCCCTTCTGACCTTCTGCAAGAGAGTGAAAATGTGGCTTTGTAACCAAGCCTTTAGAGAACTTGTGCAATAGATAGGCTTGGAACAATGTGCAATGACCCCAATGGACCGAATTTCATTCGTGGATTATGTGTTTAACTCTGAATGTATTTTAAAAAATGTTTTAATTGTTTTAATGTACCTTTAAGTTCTATTTTAATATTTATTTAGGTGTACATTGTGTTTTAGGGCATCTAATTGTTTGTGTGTAAAACCTCCTTGAGTACCCTCCAGGGTGAGAAAGGCAGCGTAGAAATGTCGTAAACGTATATATAAACATTTATTCTTTTTGCCTTTATTGCAGTTAATATTTTTGCATCTTGGTTTATCAAAGATATGGATCTATATGATCCAGGATGTGTAGGGTCCTTATTAGGTTTTTAAATTAATATAACCAGAGATTGTTCTCACAATGGTGGGATCTTTTCACTATGTGGTGCTTTGATGGTAATAATACATAGACTTTCTATTCTAAATTCTAAACATTAAGATGTTGTAAGTGTTTTGCATTCATTATAGGCCAATCAAATCGCAATAATAATAGTCAGTAAAATAATAATAATAATAATAATAATAATAATAATAAACATTATTAAATTATTATTATTACATTATTATTATTAAATTATTAAAAACTCAGCCATTTGCTGTGTTTTCGTGTCAGTGAAATAATAATAATAATAAAATAATAACAATAACAACAACAGCAGCAGCAGCAGGATTGCGGAGAAACAACCGGAAAAGCTGACATGATATGAGGATTTAAAGATCGAACTGCAAAGATTCTGGCACAAGCCAGTAAAGGTGGTCCCAGTGGTGATCAGCACACTGGGTGCAGTGCCTAAAGACCTTGGCCTGCACTTAAACACAATCGGCGTTGACATAATTACCATCTGCCAGCTGCAGAAGGCCGCCTTACTGGGATCTGCATGCATTATTCGCCGATACATGACACAGTCCTAGACACTTGGGAAGTGTCCGATCCAATATAACAACCAGCAGAGTGATCTTGTCTGCTATGGACTCATCTTGTTGTGTTTCTAATAATAATAGTAGTAGTAGTAGTAGTAATAATAATAATAATAATAATACTTTCTTTATACCCTGCCACCATCTCCCCTAACAGGGACTCGGGGCAGCTTACATGGGGCCAAGCCCTAACAACAAATTACAACAACAACAACAACAACAACAATATAGAAGGAGATACGTTCAGACAGATAAGCTTGGCCAGAATTGTTTAGAGCCTTATAGGCAGGAAGACAAATGTCAAATCTAATGGGTAGGGTATTAAATATAAGTTATACAATTAAAACAAAATTAACAGCAGACTTATTAGCTTTAGATAAATTCAATGAAAGCCATGTACAGTATTATCATTGCTGTCTTGTAGGTGATAAAAGCTGAGGCACCATGATGCTGATGTCAGCGACAGATTAAACATTACCTTTAACCCATTGTGGCTAAATGCTTTTAACTAAGCTCTGATCCCTACTTCCTTTTCATAAGGTCTGGGTGAGGGGTGGGGTGTCTTTCTAGCTCAGCTTTTCCCATGACAAAGACCTAGTAGTGATCAATTGTGTTATTTTTTTTGGACACCAACCTCCAGGATTTTCATCCAGCATGACCATTAATCATACTGGTTGGGAATTCTTGGGAGCGGTAGTCCAAAACTGACCATTCAAAGCCTGCGTTGGTGCTGGCAGAGGCTTTTGTTTAATTTTGTAACCATCTCTGTTTCAGCTTCAAGGACACAATTGTGAATGCAAAGTATGGTGGACACACAGAGGCCGTGCGCCGGCTGTTGGGTCAGCTTCCGATCAGTGCTCAGTCCTACAGTGGCAGCCCCTACCTCGACCTCTCCCTCTTCAGTTACGATGACAAGTGGGTCTCGGTCATGGAACGCCCCAAGACATGTGGGGACCATCCAATCAGGTATATAAAGGTGTTTAAAAAACACTCATTTTGCAGTGCGAGGGAGACTGGATATATGACTTCACTGCATTTACTCTTTCTAAATTTTGTTGCCTATTTTAATTTTATTTATATCCTGCCTTTCTCTTGTATTTTAACTCTGTATTTTAATTCTGTGTAATTTGTTGTATGTGTTTTAATAGTGTATTATTTCTTTTAACAATATTGTAACCTGACTGAGCCACAGGAAGAGGTGGGTAATACATTTATTATTATTACTTACTGTGGCCCAGTGTGGCAATCTGGAAAATAAAGTAATGAGAAAGTGTTGGTTTCTAATATATATAATTTCTTTATGCTTCTGAGTAAACAGTATTTCTTCTTGTTTCTTTGTAAGTGCTGATGTAGAGAGTGTCTGGTTTGCCCATTCTGGAGCATGCAACATATAATTGTCCTTCTTTAGGGGTCCCTTTCAAATCTATGATACTATATCTGTCATATACATATATATGTGTGTGTGAATCATATCTATCTATACCTAGGGCTGGATGGCTCTTTGTCAAGAGGGCTTTGGTTATGTTTTCTTGCCCCGGTGAAGGGAGTTGGACTGGATGGCCTTAAGGCACCATTTCTTAACCTGGGGGTCAGGACCCCTGTGGAGGTCATAAAGGGGTGTTAGAGGGGTCACCAAAGACATCAGAAAACACAGTATTTTTTTGTTGGTCATGGGGGTTCTGTGTGGAAGGTTTGGCTCAATTCTATTTAAATGGGGTTTTAAATGCTCTTTGATTGTTGTTGTTGTTGTTCATTCGTTCAGTCGTCTCCGACTCTTCGTGACCTCATGGACCAGTCCACGCCAGAGCTCCCTGTCAGCCGTCATCACCCCCAGCTCCTTCAAGGTCAGTCCAGTCACTTCAAGGATGCCACTCATCCATCTTGCCCTTGGTCGGCCCCTCTTCCTTTTGCCTTCCACTTTCCCCAGCATCATTGTCTTCTCTAGGCTTTCCTGTCTCCTCATGATGTGGAGGTGAACTATAAATTTGATTGTAGGTGAACTATAAATCCCAGCAACTCCCAAATGTCAAGGTCTATTTCCCCCAAGCTCCATCTGTGTTCATATTGGGGCATATGGAGTATTCGTGCTAAGTTTGGTGCAGATCCATCATTGTTCGAGTCCACAGTGCTCTCTGGGTGTAAGTAAACTATAACTCCAAAACTCAAGGTCAATGCCCACCAAACCCTTCTACTGTTTTCTGTTGGTCTTGGAAGTCCTGTGTGCCAAGTTTGGCTCAATTCCATCATTAGTGAAGTTCAGAATGCTCTTTGATTGTAGGTGAACTATAAATCCCAGCAACTACAACTCCCAAATGACAAAATCTTTTTTTTTTTTTTTTGAGTGATGATCACTCCTTGGCCCGATAGGTGCCCAAATTTATCCACTGGTTTTCAAGTTATGTTAATCCTGCAAATGAACATTACATTTTTATTTATATAGATGATGATGATGATGATGATGATGATGATGATGGACCAAGTAGCTTGCACCATGGTTATTGCTATATCAAAAATCTATCACTATTTTCCCTTCTAAGATATCTGGAGAAGAGAATCATTTTCTTCTTGTTCCTGGAGTGCCTTGCGTTTCCCTTGTTGCCCTGATAGGCCATGGGGAATGTTCAAAACAATCACAGCTCATGCTGTTTCCTGGTTGGAAGTGTTTGATACATTATTAGTCATCCCAGGTTATTATTTTTTTCAGCTTGTTTTTCTTGCAACTGTCCTTGGTGCTCGGTGATGGGTTTCTGCAGTAGGCAAACAAAACAGCCACCTTCTCCCATCTCTGCCACTGCTGCAGGTTCAGGAGGCTCAATACAAAATGACACATTTCAGGGTTTTGTAAATCTCCAAATATCCAAATGGTGCATGCAATTGTAAAAAAAATTGCTAAATTAATTACCATTAGGAATTTTCTAGGGAAGACTGCCATACCTAATTAATGGTAACAAACGAACAAAAGTCCCATGGCAATCAGCAAGTGGAGACGGGGGCAGGACTGCGAAATCTTGAAGCCCCTAGTCATGGCCAAAGAGGTTGTCTCACAAATCCCGCAACAACAAACCAAGAATGAGCTTGCAGCATTGCCTAGTTTGGAAGAAGTCAACAATGCCATCAGCCAACAAAAAAATAACAAAGCCAGCAGACCTGATGGGATCCCTGTTGAAATCTTTAAAGAGGGAGGACTTGAACTGACACAACAACTTCACCAGCTCATAGAAAAAGTGTAGGTGACCGAGAAAATCCCACCAGATTTCATCACCCTCTTCAAAAAAGGGAAAAGAACAGACTGTGGAGACTATCGAGGTATCTTCCTTCTAACCTCCGCTGGGAAAATCCTTGCAAGAATCCTTGCAAACTGCCTTCTACCCCTCTCAGAAGACACCCTCCCAGAATCCCAGAATGGCTTCCTTTCCTCTGGAGGGGCAAAGGAGAAGGTCTAGGAGAAGGTCTTGTGTGGTCCACCAGACTTTGGACTGCAACCAACATCAACCATCATCAGAATAATCTCACATATGTGTGTGTGTATGTATACATGCAGTCCCCAAGTTATGAACAAGATAGGTTCTTTAGGTTTGTTCTTAAGTTGAATTTGTTTGTAAGTTGAAACAGGTACATTTTTCAGTGTACCTCCAGCCAAGGATATATGTATGTAACTAAATTTGAAACATTTTCTGTTCCTGGTTTGAAAGTATTATTTCCTGTTTAATTGTGTAGCACTTGCTTTGAAAGTAGTTGTTATACTTCACAAACTTAGTTTTAGTGGCTGCCACAAACTATGTTGTATTGGTTGGGACTCTTATGAGTTATTCATTGAAAAACAATAGGAAAATGTGCTGGAGGATGTCCCGCAAAAAAAAAAAAAAAGTTTTTGCATGTTTAATAAACTTCCCCATGTTTTTATGATAGAACCAATTAGGAAATGCCATTTATAATCCAGGAACAAAAATTGTGTTACATAGCGATTGGCAATGTAACACAATTTGGCTTGTTGTGAAGACATGGATTAGTGAGAAAGCTTCAGTGGAGACACCTTTTCCCCATGATAATTCAGGAGTGAATTTCCCTTCCTAGGCATAGATTTCTCTCACTTCCTGTTGCGTCATCCCCGTTCTTCACTATGAGTGTGTTTGTAACTCGGAAAGCCAATGGGATTTTGGCCTGCATCAATAGGAGCCTAGTGTCTAGATCTAGGGAAGTCATGCTCCCCATGCTCTATTCTGCCTTGGTTAGACCACACCTGGAATATTGTGTCCAATTCTGGGCACCACAATTCAAGAGAGATATTGACAAGCTGGAATGTGTCCAGAGGAGGGCGACTAAAATGATCAAGGGTCTGGAGAACAAGCCCTATGAGGAGCGGCTTAAGGAGCTGGGCATGTTTAGCCTGAAGAAGAGAAGGCTGAGAGGAGATATGATAGCCATGTATAAATATGTGAGAGGAAGCCACAGGGAGGAGGAGGGAGCAAGCTTGTTTTCTACTTCCTTGGAGACTAGGATGTGGAACAATGGCTTCAAACTACAAGAGAGGAGATTCCATCTGAACACGAGGAAGAACTTCCTGACTGTGAGAGCCATTCAGCAGTGGAACTCTCTGCCCCGGAGGGAGTGTGGTGAAGGCTCCTTCTTTGGAGGCTTTTAAGCAGAGGCTGGGTGGCCATCTGTCAGGGGTGATTTGAATGCAATATTCCTGCTTCTTGGCAGAATGGGGTTGGACTGGAAGATGGCCAAGGAGGTCTCTTCCAACTCTGTGATTCTAGGATTCTATGATTTCCACAATCGAGTATAGTGTTGCTATTAAGCCAACTAAAGGACATAAAACTGTGAGTAAGCTTTTGAAATTTCCAGATTGTTTCATCAGGCAAGATGCAAGGTAGCTTGGGAGAAAAAAAAAATAATTTCTGGCAAGGTAGTTTTTGGTCAAAGCGAATTTAGTGTTTTGAGGCATTTAAGGGAGCCGTAGCACAAGGCGGACTCTCAGGACAGACTGTTCCTTTGAAAACAAGCAAGTGCACCAGCTGGACATTGCTAAATTACTGATGTGTTTGCCTATCTCTGAAGAAGAAGAAGAAATAAATTGAATTTGTATTAGTAATTGAACAGCCGTGTATATTCAGACTAAATTGTGATGTCCCTAAAAATGCATTTTGCACAAGGTCCTTGAAGAATTTATGGCTCGCTCTCCTCCTTCCCCCTCCCAATGGGAGCCAGTCCCCCCCCCCCTATCAGGAGTGACTTCAGAAACTGCAAGTTTTTTAGATGTCTTTGTCTCCATCATTGTTGCCACTCTGTTTCGTTTATTTTTATCCCTAAATCTTCTTCTTCCCAGACCTCCTTGAGGGTGTTACTTTTTTTGTTTTTCCCTCCTTTATTTCAATTATTATCTTATATACTTTACTAGGTACTCCTTTCAAATTTTCATGCTCCTCTACAAGCCTTCCATTTTGTATTATTTGTTCAAATTGGTTAAGCTTACTTCCGTTTTTATTATTTTTTCCCAATTTTTAAACCGTTGTTCTAATTGTATACAATGGAACCATGTCAATTTTATTTCTCTAAATTCTCCCATAATCGTTTCCTTCTTCATTCCAACCTTTATCCAATCCCCTATTTTGTCTAAATTTTTCCCTTAACTTTTTATCCATTACTTTTTTTAAAAAATGTTGGAAATTTCTTTTCCATTACAATCGGGGTTATTACTGAGAATGTTATGTTATTAACATTCTCCTATATTGGTTTGTTGTAGGTTTTTTCGGGCTATATGGCCATGTTCTGGAGGCATTCTCTCCTGACGTTTTGCCTGCATCTATGGCAAGCATCCTCAGAGGTAGTGAGGTCTGTTGGAACTAGGAAAATGGGTTTATATATCTGTGGAATGACCAGGGTGAGACAAAGGACTCTTGTCTGCTGGAGCTAGGTGTGACTGTTTCAACTGACCAAAGTTGGCACGAATACTCAATTTGCTG